AAACACAAAGCACAACGTAACAGTACCAAGAAATGGCTATAGGTTTTTTTTTCTTTTGTGGCTTTGGACTATAGGATATGAATAAACACAAATATATGAAGTAGATTAAACAAGGATAACGATGTGGATGATGGCAAGACCTACCGTGTCAACTTGAGCTCTGATACCACATGATAAGGGTCGGAGATCACCAACAGCAAGGTATCGATGGAAACCTCCTCGGGGTGGCCCGATCTTCACGACAGTAGGTTGGAAATCACAAGATAACTTGCTGCGAACAGCGGAGGATAACTAGCTTTATACCTGCCAAGGTTGGACACGATCAAGTGACGGGGAGAGAGAGATACCGAAACCGCGAAGACTTCGACTCGATCTTCGAACGACCGCAGAACCACGATCGGAGCTAATCCACACAAGGCAGGGCAGCCGTACTGGAACCCGCAAAGCACGAACTAGTGGATCCCAGAGGAATCTCTTCACAAGTCCAGGAAGAACAAGGAAGAACAAGGGTTTGAGTAAGCACTCGGTAGCTCGGCTGTAATATCACTGGAATTATCAAATCATTCAAAAGTCCTTTTCTAGTAGCCTAGAGGTGGTATTTATACTATGAGAAGTTTCTAAGATAGATGTGAACTGAAGAAGCCACGTTGGAAGGTGGAAGGACAATGGACTAGAGCATTCACGAAGTGGTCTTTAGTTTCCGCGTGTCTTCTGGGCTTCTGGGTAGTCTTTAATGTTTTGGTCATAACACCTTCCACGAATTATTGTAGAATGGTACAGTTTTTGCACAGGCTCTTTAGCTTCATGCAGACTATTGAGCTTCGGAGCAGTCTTCACTAAAACTGGTCGAACGCCCAGCTCTTCTCTCTGATCCATCCTTGATGTATCCTTGTCTTCCTTCTCGGAGAACCTGAGTAATAACAACATGCACGACTTAGGTAGCTAGAAATTACCATCAATGTTTAATTAAAATTCATAAAGTAGCGAGTGCACCTCTTGTTGTATCTTTTTGGCGCGGCTACGGGTGATTGGTCCAGTAGGGACTTGAAGTGGTGTATCAGCTGGTGAGGTGGTCGGAGAGGTTGCCGAGGTCGGTGAAGTGATCGGAGAGGTCGCCGAGGTGGTCGGAGAGGTCGCCGAGGTGGTCGAAGAAGTGGTCGGAGTGGTCGCTGAGGTTTCCGGAGTGGTCAGAGAGGTGGTCGGAGTGGTCGCCAAAGTCTTCGACGTTGGCGTGGTCACATCAAGAAGAGAACAGTGAACTTACTTCGGCGGCGCGGAGCAAGCGGAGATGACACTCTGCTGGGCGAAGCGGACGGCGGACGGTGGCGTTTGGGGCTTTGGCTGCTCGGTGTCTCGACGAAGGGAACTGTGGCGCTAGAGGGCGGAGTAGGGAGGCGGCGGGACGGGCTTCCGGTATTTAAGGGCCCAGAGCCTTGGCAGGCACGGCAAGCGGAGGGAGACGTGGGCGGGACGGTCACGGCCGGTGGCGGTGATGGAGTCCGGTTCAGCGACGGCACGAGGAAGCGGAAACGGCTGACAGGTGGGGCCGCATCGTCAGCGACAGAGGGCACGGGTCGGGCTGTCAGTGACCCATCGCGAGGGAGAAGGAAGGCGGCGCAATGTCTGCGCTACTGGGCCGTCTGCTTGCTAGGCCGTGCGGAAGAAACAGCCACGCGGGTAAGAAATGAGAGGCAGGCCACGCAGAAAAGCGAGGGAGCGGGGCAGAGTGCACTCGCTGGGCTGGGCGACTGGGCCTGCTACTGCCGAGCTGGGCTGGCTTGAGCAGCGGGGAAACAAGGCCGAACGGATGGAGCAGGCCTGCGCGGGGAAAGAAGAAGAAAAAGATGGCCTCCGGGCCAGAGAAAGGGAAGAGGGAATTTTCCATTTGCCATTTTTTTCCATTTTGTTTTCAAAACTAACTCAAACTCAAATAGAGTTTCAATATACTTTTTACTCAAATAAGAATGAGAAATTTTGGTATGTTTTTCAAAATTAAATTTTACATCTAAAAAAATACTTTTATTTTTAAATTCTCTTTTTCTCTCTTTTATTTTTCTTCAAAGCCATTTTTAATTTCATTTGCAAAAGCAATTTTAACCATTTTAATTTTTCGATCAAAACCACTCAATCAAATACATCAAATGCAAGGGCATATATGCACAAACATGTTGCTAAACCTTATGATGAATTTTAATTTAATGAAAAATTTTATTTCCCTATATTTCATGAGCACAAAAATATAGAATTAAATCATTTTAATCCTATTTTCAAAAGAGGCAAAATTTAGGGTGTTACACCGGGGAAGAAGAAGGCCGGGGAGGGGCGGCGCCAGGGAAGAAGGGGAGAAGGAGGGGAGGAGCGGCGGCCCGAGAGAGGGAGGGAGGGAGGGGAGGGGAGGGGCGCTCAGGGCCGGGTGCCCGGGAGGAAGAAAGGGAGGGGCGGAGGAAGAAGGGGAGGGAGCGCTGGGGCCAGGCGGTTATGTAGATTTTTTTTTTGTTTGCTGAGTGTTTAGATCGGGGCACTCGGCAAAGTTTTTTTATTTTTTTTCTTCTCATTCTTTTTCAGAAAAAATATTTATTTCTTTGCTGAGTGTTCTAGATCTGAGCACTCGACAAAGTTTTTTTTTTCTTCTCCTTCTTTTTTAGAAAAAAGATTTTATTTCTTTGCCGAGTGTATTTTACACTCGACAAACCCCCTCTTTACCGAGTGTTTTTTTTTACACTCGGCAAACCAAACTTTTTGTCGAGTGTTTTTTTCCTGAGTGTTTTTAGCGCAGCACTCGGCAAAGATCTTGTTCGCCGAGTGCCCGAGGAATACACTCGGTAAACATAAAAACACTCGGTAAATTTGAGGATTCCGGTAGTGTAGTAGGTGGTGTGATACTGTCACTGGATCGGAATTGGATTAGCATTGCCGGCACCATATTGTACTAAGTACGGAACAAACGTTTAGCATGCAACCTCGTAATAAGCTCTATTATTAAATTCTACTAGCAACATATACATGTTAGTTGACGACTACTCTCCATCCTAAAAAGATACAATCCCAAAATATTGCTAACAAATTTGATCATTTATAAAAAGTTACTACTACCTATCATACCAAATAAATATTATTATATCTGTCATGAAATGTACTTTTATAGTATACTTAATTTGGTGGGTCAAATTTAAAATATTGAGTTTAATTAACCAGACTTAAAATTATATTTCCTTTTAAGGTAGAAGTAGTAGTATTGTGACTTACTCCATGTTTTCATAATTTTCATGCCGCCTCCTGAATAATGAGGTAGTCTGGTGAACGCCATACCTCTAACTTAGGACTTTGGATGGCTTGTGCAGAGATCCATTATTGTAGAATATATGATTAGATCCACATGAAAGTCTCACATGACAATCTATTCTTGATCAAGAGAGAGATATTTTCCTTTTGCAAAAAAGATAGATTTTCTATTAAAAATAAATAAAATGTTTAGAGCTAACCTATAAGTCCTGCCCTTAGCGAAGCACCTGAAGCTTGAGAAAGCAACCGGTACGGTGCAAAGAAAAAGGTACTACAGCGATATATGTTAGAGCATACTAGTATTTTGCTAAGCTAGACTTTATAACGTAGGTCCCATATTAATACTAGTTTGTGTTCTAAACATTAAATTAAAGTCGTTGCCCTAATAAGACACGACTGAACACGTTCTTGCGATATATCAGTGCACGCATGTGATCGTCCCTGCACTACAGCCACAGGTATAGGTAAGCTGGCATCGATCTCCATCATGTTCCACATGTATTCTCTTCATCAGTAATATATGGCCACAGAGTACGCCGTAAATTGAATTGAATGAACCATGCATATAGATGGTTGGTTTCATCCGTAAGCGGAATTCATTTTCATGCTTGGACTTGCTTCAATAATACAATGGTAACTAGTACAGTACATGTTACACACACACATATATATAGAGAGAGAGAACTACTACCCTGTAGCTGGCTACAAAATAACTTATTCTGTAGCCACTTTAAGTTACAACAATTACTATGTTAATTTATGAGATTATAGTAACTCATTAATAAGTGGTTTACTATAACGTTATGGTAAATATCCCCATATGTTATAGTAACCCAACTATCGTAAATATGTATTGACATTATCGTAAATTAGTATATAAAATTATCGTAAATGGAGGTAGCTATAGAATAACTTATTTTGTAGCCGGCTACTGAATATACTCTCCATATATATATATATATATATACACACACATATGTGGTGCATTTTATATACTCCCGGGAGTAATTACTCTCATAATGACTAAATCATGTTGTGTATGTGTACATACTCATTTATCAGTTTGAGTATGTTGACATACTAATACTAAGATACTCCAGATCTTTACTATGATACTCCAGATCTTTACTATGTGAATTTTTTTTTCAAAAGAGCACATATTTTTAATATATTATATAATACTATGATAGTAGCATATAAAATAAGTATAACTATATACTCTAAGTATACATACATACTTGTCATACATAGTACCCTAAATGGTCTAGTATGATGATATACTTCATCTACGTACACTTCGTCAGGCCATATACGTCCTAAATCTAGAGATATACACATGGGAGTAACTACTCCCTAGAAGTAGAAAATAATTTTCATATATATATATATATATATATATATATATATATATATATATATTGTACTCTCTCTGTATATAGAGAGAGTTAAATACACTAGCGGCCCTTAAACTTGCAACGCTGCGCCACTTAGGTCGACAAACTCTCAAAATCGAAATTCGACCCCTGAACTTGTTAAATGGTGCACTACATGTCTATACCTCTTCAGGAGGTATTAGGCTAAATTTTTTAAAAAAAAAAACACCCTGCCATTGCGAGCGGGAGGTGCTGCGCGTGGCGGAGGCAGCGCGAGCGGGGATGGCGGAGCGGCCGCGATCGCCACGCCCCCTCGCCGCGCGGCGCGGCGCGAGAGCACGTCCGTCAGCGGGCGTCGAACACCTCGGGCGCCAGGTTGGTGGGGAGGTTGCGGTCCTTGCGCTCGTGCCGCTCCATGGCCCAGTAGGACGGGAGGCACCGTATGTTGGTGGCGCCGCGGGCGGGGGCGGCGGTGGCCGGCGCGGTTGCGGTGGCGCGGGACTCGTAGTCGCGGAGTCTGTTGTAGTCGCGGAGGAGGTTGTCCCACTCGTCGTTGCACTGGTTCTGGCTGCGGAGGCAGCCGTGGTTCCAGCAGTGTTCTCCAGTCAACAACGAGTCAATGCATGCATGCAAGCAAGCGCACAAAAGGGAAGCTCAAAGCAGACACCTAGCAGCAGGACAACCTTGTACATGCATGCGAGGGCGAGACCAATGCAATGCTACATACGCTTCCACCTCCAAAAGAATTTCTAGTCACAGCCTCCAACAATGAATCACGCATCACCTTATTTACATCTCGGGCGGTCCCTCGATCGTCGGAGCTCAGCTAGCCGGCCGCCCAGCCGGATTGCACAACGCCGGCGGTAGCTAGCAGAGCTGGGAGGAAGATGATCGACCACGACGGGGCTAGTAGCTGCGGGGGTCAATGCCGTTGCCGGACGGACGGTTACCGGGAGGCGGAGTCGCCGCTGCGGTGGTCGGAGACGAGCGCGTGGATGGCACTGGAGAGGCTGTTGATGGCGGAGACAAGGCCCGCGAAGCCCTGGCGCTGCACCTCCGTGCGCTCCTCCTCCAGCCGCAGCCGCCGCTCCTCCAGCTCCAGGACCTCCCGGTGCCGCAGCTGCCGCTTCTCCTCGCACGCCACCAGGGTGCGCGCCAGCACCGTCGCGCTGCGCACCACGCTGGACCCCAGCCGGTTCAGCCGCCGCCGCTTCGGCTCCGGCTCGCCGCCGTCCGACCCGTCCTCACCGGACTCCGACGACCCCGTCGGCTCCTCCGCTGCATGCATGTACAAACATACATCCATCCACACATCATCAAAACGTTACAGTAACAGGATAAACTACAAAACAGTTACCATGCATTATGGTTTTAATATAGTATATGTACTAAGAAAACAAACAAGCTGGAGAACAAAAGGTGCTTTGTTAGTTCGTTTGCATTATGGTTTAAATAGCAGGGTGTTTTTTTAAAAAAAATTAGCCATAGTTAGCATCTCCCGAAGGGGTATAGACCTGTAGTGCACCATTGAACAAGTTTAGAGGGTCAAATTTTGATTTTGAGAGTTCGTGGACCTAAGTGGCACAACGCTACAAATTTAAGGGCCGCCGATGTATTATATATATATATATATATATATATATATATATATGCGCTCCAATAAATATATATTCAGCAAGAGATAATTATAACCAATACACTAACAATTCCAAATATTAGTAGTAATGTCCGGGACCTAATACCGGGATACCCATGGAGGTGAAACTAATAACCATCGAACGTTAAACACTCCTAGACGGACAAGAGCACTACTACGCTTCTTGCCCAAACGACGGGGGTTTGGTTCCGCCTCGCCCGACGCCCGTGGGCCAGCTCCGCCTCACCCGACGGCTGAGGGTCGGCTCTGCCTCGCCCGAGGGCTGAGGGCGGGGTCCGCCTCGCCCGAGGGTTGAGGGCGGGCCCCGCCTCACCCGATGTCCGGGGCCAGGCTTCGCCTCACCCGACGGCTAAAAGCCAGACTCTGCCTCGCCCAACGCCCGAGGGCGGGTTCGACCTCACTCGACGACTAAGGGCTAGCTCCGCCTTGCCCCGCGACTGCACTCTGATCCTTCCTAAAGACGAAACATGGGGTATGACAGGACGTACGAGTCAACCACGATGTCGAGGGCCATGCCCTATGCGACTGCAGGAAGGCACCGTCAGAACATGATGGGACGGGCGCTTTAAAGCCCTTTTCCTCATAACAGTGCCCAAATAGTGTTGAGGGTGCCGGCTTTTGTCCCACAGTGTAGTAGGCGCCGCCTTCAGTCCTCGAGCGCGGATACTAACACCGGCATACGACGACCGCTACGGTCCAAGACATAACTCATATCATCTACAGTAACGGACGTATGGTCGCTTCCCCGATTACTCCCCGAGGGGTCACTGCTCGGCTCTCCAGCACGCCGCACCGTCCGCCGACATGGGATGGGATGCACCCACTTGTTAAATGGGGCCAGGACATGGCCTACGAAGATCAACAAACACGCCACTTCTGACACGGTCTACCATGTTAAGCAGGGCAGGCGCGGGAAAAAAGGAAGACCCGGATCCTTCGAAGGACCTTCTATACCCTTGGTATTTTCTTCTTTCTCCCATCTGTAGCCCCTGCTCTCCCTTGGTCTATAAAAGGGAGGGTAGGGCTCCCTACTGAAGGGACCAACTTTTGACGGACGACTCACACAAAGACCAGTTCGACACAGGCACAACACATCACGCACGCAGCCAAGCAGCGACCAAGCTCTTGGCATCCTTTCGATCTTTTCCATCAGAGACTTGGGACCAGTCCCTCTCTCGACCGTTTGTACCTCCTACTATGAACCTTTTTCGGTGCTAATAACACGAGCAGCAACAGACTGGACGTAGAGACATTCAGCCCGAACCAGTATAAACCTTGTGTCCTTTAGCGCACCATCCGGGCCTAACGCGCATCAATTATAAATTTACTAGCCGGTGTTTGTTCGAAACACTGACAAGTACAGTCTTGGTGGATGGTTTCACGGCGTTGTTTCTAAGACTACCATGTCCCATAAAATCAAATGAAACTTGAATGAAACACCAACTCTCAATGCAAAGTTTTATTCCATAGTTTTAGAGACATTTAATTTTATGGCCATAGAGAATTGGTAATCATGCCAAGAGAGTTTCATCTAGATCAAACTAATTTCTCTCTTTTTAAATACACTGTCATGTCATCAAAAATACTTATGCGATAACCTATTTAATGCAAATAAAACTCACATGAAACTTTCACTGAGACTGGCCTTAGCTAGCCTTTTAAGTTCTAATGACAGATCCAAACAGGGTCAAAACATAAAGGGGTTTAACTTTGTAAAAAGAACCGAATAGGATAATTTAAGTGAATGTCACAATGCATGGGCTGCTGGAAACTGTTATGATTGTCTAAAACGAACAGAGCCTGTAATATTGATGTTAGCTTCTTTTCAGAATTATCGAGGTGCAAGTGCAATGCGATACCATTTTATATTATAGGCAAAGTGCTATAGAAGAGTTCATGATGACCATATATTTAAATAGTATATATTGTTTGACTCATCGGGAAGCGAGAATTGTATTTTTTTTAACAAAGGGAGTGTGTGTGTGGTGGTGTGTGCGCATGCACGTGCTGCTGGTGCGTGTATGGGTATTGCGTTAAGCAATGGATAATTACCGGGCAACAACTAACAATGGCCAACAACCTACTAGCTAGTTTTTTATTAGCTATAGCTTTCTATAAGTTGTAAGATCCAAATAGTACTATCTATTATGTTTTACTAGCTATAACCAACAACTAACAATTACCAGGTCTTCTTTTACTATCTATAGCTTTATGAGTTGCTTTTTATTACAATGCTATCGTGGGTCCCACGGGTATACATCGGATGGAGAAAGGACCGTGTGGAGATTTATGACGAAGTGTCGTTCGTTGAAGCTTTAATCTGTACACAAAGCTAGTTGTGTTCTTCATTGTGGACATTAGAAAAGTTGTGGAGGAAATTCAAGCTTACGAGGAAATTGAAGAAGGTATTGATGTATGTTTTTATAGTGGAAAATGTTGAAGCATGGGAGCCATTAAAATGATGCACAGTTTATGACCAGAGCGTGATGCACATTGTATGAACTAGAAGCATATGCCACGTGTTGATGTGGGAATTCGGAATAAATTGTAAATAAATTAAACTGCATATAATTACTTATTTGAAGAGATAAACTATTATAGATTAATGTCATGGTATGGTATTGCTGATGTGGATAAATAAATGCATGTTAGTGATGAAGTGTATTCCTAACGTGTATATATCATAATTGCACTAGTGGGCTATAATTTCTTCTAAGGCCCTTTTGGCGGAGCTTAACTTCACTAGTGAAGCTTTTTTTTTTAGTTTCAGCTTCACAAGTAACTTTCTCGGTAAAGCTAAAGCTATTTTAGAGACTCGTTTGGCAAAACAGCTTTGTATGTAGATTTTCTTTAAACATGCTCTCACATAGTCCTACACAGGGTCTACAAGTGTGAGGTGAAGCTGTGAAAAGCTACTATTTTCTGCTTCATCCCACCTCATTCTCATGTGAGGCATACATGATAAGATAACGTCTAAGAGTCAGGACTTGACTCTTCCTATTAGAGATGTCCAGTAAACTGTCGGCTTACTTTGGCCAACTCAGTGTAGGACAAAAAATTATAGTCATGGGTCATAAGATAGTCTTCAACGTTGAATAAATTGCTGGACGAACGGGCTAACCACGTGTCCTCTTTTTACATGGTAGAAAACACTGTTCAACCAAACGTTAAATACTTCCCAGCCACTATTCATCCCGTAACTGCCAACTTCCTGCTTTACTGTTCACGCAGATAATATGGGCGCAGCGGAGCGTGCCGTCCCGTCCTAGTCATGACAAGAGCATCCTGAAGTCCAAGCATAAGTGCCGATGGCACCAGCCAACCAACAACAAAAGCTAACCCAATAATGGGTAACCCAAGAGAAGAAACCCTTGATTTTTCCAGTGCAGAGACACGCGTTGAGCTCCACTGTTAATAAAAGAGAAGGGTTTGGTCTAGGTTAAACACCCTAGGTTTAGTTTCTAACTCTAGAAAAGAAGAAAAGTAAAATGTCTCATGTAGAGGCTGAAACATAAAATGGCATTAGGCATTGAGGGAGGTTTTTAATCCATGGCTCATGGCTTCTTGACGAGCGTCTCCAAGAGATTGGTCAAATCGTTTTCTAAAGTAAAATTTGGCTATTATTAAAGAAAAAAATGTCTCCAACAGACTCTGTAAATAACGCCTAAATTTAGTAGCTCTTTATCCCACCTCATTTGCTCTCTACTTTTGGATAGCCTACCTCATTAGCCATATAGTCTCTTGGTTTTACAGAGTCTGTTGGAGTACTCTAGTATTTTTTTGTCAAGTCTATTTTAGAGAGTAGCTAAATCAATAGATTTGGCTAGTCTTTTTGACTAATCTCTGGGAAATGCTTATGTGGTATTGTTGAAAATAATGATATAAAACACCTCGAAAGGGTTGCTTGTCATCCTCCATGTACTACGTCAGCTAAGCAGAAATCATAATTAACTATACCACAAGATTATGCATAAATTAGTTATCATACTTTGTCTATCTATTTAATTATTGCTGAAGTACAAACTACTAATTTCTACTATGAACCTGTGTGGGAGTATGAGTTGATGGACTAGTTGATGATATATAGTCAAAATTTTAGAAAAAAAAAAGACCAGATGAAATCTACAGCCAGATCATTGCTTTTCCGTTTGACAGAAAATATGTGGATGTATATCTACGTTCAAGTGTGTTCAGATGCTTCTATATATAAAAAATATTAAGGTAGATTTTTTCAACCTTGTTGGTTTTGTTAAATTTTCCAAACTCCGACTTATGCATGGGTGAGGAAATCTTTTAACAACACACAATTCATGTGCATGGGTGTGGGCTACGAACGAATTCTAATGGTTGGTTGGTTTGCGCGACGGTTGTGTGTCAACCACCGAGCTAAGTTTTAATTAGCCACCGACTCACTGATCGTCCTCTGCGCCGGCACGTCCCTAGCTGTAGCAGCCAGTAGGAATCCATGACACGAGATCCCAATCTTGCAGTCAGGGCAAGGCTCTCTCATGGTACACTACTAGAATCTCTCTTTTTTCTGTGTGTGCGAAAACCCACGGAAAAATTCGAATACCGTCAGAAAATAACCCACAAAAATAGAATGACAGAAAAATCGACTTTTTTTGGGGTTCACCGTCAGAAATAATTTTTCTGTGGGTCTCACACGCACAGAAAAATTGTGTTCACCCAGATTAAAACTAATTTTTC